AATAATTACAAGGGTGCTATGGTACGGCGCGCGCCTGCAGAAAAGGCAAGTGCTACTTGCTGCCCGCGCCGGCATGCTTTGGTCAACCAGAGGAATGGAGATATGAAGCGTCTGGTAGCAATTCCAATGTCTTGTTGAGCAAACATTATGCTTTGCATCAGAAGTATGCGCCACATGCGGCCAGCTGCAAAGAACTGGCTGAGAAAATTACAAGGCTGGACGCGGGCTTGTTTAAATGTCGCTGTGGGCATCAAGGCGCCCTGGGAAAAACGCTACATCATACCTGTGAGACAAAACAAGCCTGTGGTCCACTGTTGCGAGTCAAGAGGCCCTGTGAAAGAGCTTCCTTGAACACTGCGGCATGTAAACGACGGCGAACAGCAGCTACCTTTTCTGCTGTTCAGTCCAGGCTCAAAACAGATGGGGATTCCGCATCAGCAGGTATTTTCTGTCCGGACGAAATTGCTCAGACATCGAGAGTATATCGAAATCAGATGGGGCTGCCTTTCCTGCGCCTGTTATCGGTGGGTTCCACAGCTGGCCAAGCCATACATCTGACGCAGAAGCGGCGTGGCCCGGCGTGGGGCACGGGACGCTTGCTAATGTCACACGAAAAGTTTTACCTCTTTAGATTGGTTTTCAAGGCTGCTTTTCACATGTTGATGCATGTGTCTAGACCCTGTACGCACTGTCATTGAGGTGGGAGACTACATACGAGCCAAAGATCGAGGCTACTGGTGTATTCAGAAAATTCTCAAGTCCCGGCTGCGTGTGTTGTCGTTCCGGCCCTATGAGCCTCGTGGCCGACCATGTCCCCATCATGCAGGACCTTGCTGGAGAATCGCTCGCAAACAAGGGCAAGTGGTAACTATGTCTGCGCGAAGGCCAATATCCATGCGATCAGGACCTCTTTTGTTTTGCCAGGGATTTAGAAAGGATGAACTGAGACTGCCAAATTTGGAAACTGTCTACCCGTCGGTCAGGGCTGGTGCCACTTGAGCTTTCAGCGTCATCTCTCTCTCTCTCTTTTTCTCGGTAGAGACAGCGGTGGCTTGAATTAACTTGAATCTGGAGAATCACCAATCTAGACAGCCCATCCTCGCTGGGTTCCGACTCCGGCTCCTGCTGTTTTTGGTGGCCGATGAGGTCCTGAACCCCGTTGCTTAAGGGTTTGCGCAGGAGACCAGTCGATGGTGAAGTTGAACTGAGGGCTCCTACGTACTATAGAAATCTTTTAAATATAGGAATGATTGTATAGTTAGGCTAGGTTGCCCCAACCATTGTGTGTCATGAACCTTTGAAGCTCGTTTCACATGTTGAACCTTTGAACATCGTTTTGATCAAAAATGATCTGGAAACATTAAGGAAACAATAGGAAACAATTGAGTACATCGCTTTGCGAGCCTCCGGGATCTTCCCGCCACGCTCACAGCCTACGGGGACAGGGAGCACCGTTTTCAGGCACGAAAAAAGGCGGGTCAGGTACGGATGCAGCGGTCTGGGTGCTTTCAGAAAACGATGAAATTCATAGCAACGGCTGCGCTGAGATCACATGGCTTAACATGAGCGGGATTTTGCAGGCACAAAAGGGATGCCTGGGTAAAGAAGAAGGATGGTGGGCTACCAGGTGACAGGAGGGTGGATGCCTGGTAGATGAGTACGTCTTGACATAAATCCTTCATGTGTATGTAGTGGAGGCGTGGGCCTGGGTATGGGACGCTAATCTTGGAATGTGGCAGTTCTTGCGTTGCCATACCATGCCCTACCCATACTTGCCTCCTCTTGAGCAGTATTGGAATAACCACCGCATCAAAATCCCGAGGGTAAACTTGGAGGAGTATTTCGTGAATTGGAAAATGGCACAGTCCAATCACACGATCAATCCGCCATACATTACTGTTACATACTCCAACAAGTGCAAAAAACAACATGAATCTGAATTCCACATCTACAGTATATATGTTGGATTTGTCTGCTTGGCGTTGTTTCGAGTGCGCTTCTCAAATGGCTCCTACGATCGGCTCGACACTCAGCTGCTCACTACAGCATCTCTCTCATTCTTACTCGCGGTCTCTCCGGTGAAACATGTCCAATCCAAATACCATTCATCCACGCCCCTGACTGACCGCTGGCCTTCAGTGTCGGCAGATTCCGCCTTCACTGGACCACGACCAGTGACAAGGTCTGAGAAGTATGGTTAGCAGGGGATGTATAGAGACCTACTTGTTCTCTAGTCGCTCTTTCAGGTTTACTGCTTACTGTGCGCGCGGTGTCTCGACCCGGTGCACCCAAATTGTTGTAGAAATAGACGTAAATATATTTAACTATCTACATATATGAAAGGCTGCTTAGATGTTCCCTATGCTCTTGAGGTTCTTCCGTCCTCTCCGGCGGGGCTTCCAAACAATATTCAATCGTCTTGAAGTCCTTCCGTCCTCGCCGGTCATTTTTTGCCCTCTTTTCGCAAAGAAAATACAATACTATGTGGGTGTATAGATAGGCATAGTAGGTGCATATTGTGGGATCAAAGAAGAACGTGCTTCTAAAGAATACACTGTCGTTGGAGCAGGCAAAATAATGATGCCAGCATAGACCCGAAACAGTTACAGAACCCTACGTCGACGTTCGGACGGCCCCTTTTCAGACATTTTCACACCAGACGTGGCGCGCCGCCTGCCGGCAGTCTACCTCCAAGAAGGCTAAGGGAAAGGGGCTGAATTGAATAGGACCTTCTGTGAAGCAGTGATGGGAACATGGGAATACAGAATATATAATTATAGACCCTTTGTCCCTGACATGAAGCTCTCAAACAATCAAACAACTGTCTTTTGAACCTTTGTTCCCACGTCTACCGTCAAACCCTGGTCGGGGGCAAGCTTCGATCATATCATACACAAGTGGAGCGTCTGCACTCAAGAGAGCAGAGAAAGGGTTCCACAGTGAATAGAATCTTGTATGAAGCATTGTTGGGTTGTGTGGTGTTGATCATTGTTGGACATTTTTGGAGCGTCACGTCTGGCAATCAAATCCCAACGCAGCACAAACATACAAAAAACAGCTCAGGGACGCCACGCTGGTGCACTGATTGGCTGATGGACACGAGCGAAGTCAGGAACGGCGTTAGACAGAACGACTTTATTGGAGATTTGATGCTTCGAGCGGGTGCGCCATACAGTCTCAAGCAGGTCAAGCAAAGCAAACCCTTATCTTTAACTTTTCTTTCCCCTCTACACGATGCGCGTCGATCCTTTGCCCTATTGTTTTTTGCACCAAACTCGGTCTCACGGGTCAAGGGAGTATTTTTAGTTCACATGATTCTTCTTCAAACGAAAACATGGATATGTCACGGCGTTCTCAAAACGTAGAAACCCAAGCGTTGCATTGCTGCCTTTTGTCGGAACTTCTCTGAGCCTGGCTTTAGCTTCTACCAGTTTCTATGTTGGTGCACAATCAACAAACCTGGGCTTCAGTGGTGTTCATCCTTGAAATATGACGGGGTTCTACGGGCCCAAATCGTCTCATTCAATCTGTGCCTGAATGGATAAAAGCTACAGGCTTAGATGATCAGCCCGCACTGTAGACTCTAAAGTCGTTTAAGACATGTTCATAAGTATTTTTCTTAGACCTATCCCACGTCTGCTCTGCTCTGCCAGGTGGCTGCAAAGAGCCCCTCAGTCGATTTCGTGTCGCCGGCCATGATGTGAGCGCCATGAGTGAAGGAGCGTCGTGGCACAGATGTTGTGACCTTTTCCTTGAAGTTCCCTGACATGTATGTTGCTTGGAGCAAGCCTGCTGAGATGTGGCATGTCTTGAAAAAAAACGGGTTTCAGTGGTGTTCTGACGGGGTTCTACGGACCCAAATCGTCTCATTCAATCTGTGCCTGAATGGACAAAAGCTACAGGCTTAGATGATCAGCCCGCACTGTAGACTCTAAAGTCTTTTAAGACATGTTCATAAGTATTTTTCTTAGACCTATCCCAGATCTGCTCTGCTCTGCTAGGTGGCTGCAAAAGGCCCCTCAGTCCATTTCGTGTCGCCGGCCATGATGTGAGCGCCATGAGTGAAGGAGCGTCTACCATATCCGCGGTAAAAACGGTAAAAAACGAAGTTTTTCTTTTTTTACCATTTTTACCGGGGGGGCGCCCCTTTTTTCTCTACCATATCCGCGGTAAAAACGGTAAACATCGAATTGTTTCCTATTTTTACCCTTTTTACCGAGGGGGCGCCCCCTTTTCTCTACCATATCCGCGGTAAAAACGTTAAAAATCGAATTGTTTTTTTTACCGTTTTTACCAGGGGGGCGCCCTTTCTTCTCTACCATATCCGCGGTAAAAACGGCAAAAATCGAAATTTGTATGTTTTTTACCGTTTTTGCGGGGGGGCGCCCCTTTTTTCTCTACCATATCCGCGGTAAAAACGGTAAAAATCGAAAATGTTATTTTTCCTTTTTCCTGCGGGGTCGCGAAAGTATACCCGTTAGCAAAGCAACGCTCGCGAACCGGCTTGGGGTTATCCTGAGTCATCCTACCATATCAAGACCTGATTGAAAACGGGGAACATGTATTTCCAGGTGCCTTCTTTGGTGCTTTCGGTCGAACAAACCCATGCTCCTTCTTCGTGCGTTCTTTGCCCGGAAGAAGCACGGACGCCAAGCACGTGCCGTTAGCGAGAGGCAAAGCACGAGCCGGAGGAATGTCTTGGATCTCTCACGCTCACAAATCAATGGAGAAGCAGAAAGGTATTCTCTTGAGAATACCGGGGTCCTACCTGGAATACCTTTTGTCAATCAATAGTCGCTAAGGACCAGGCTTGACAATCGAAGGAATTCTATGTTCGTCCCCAATAGTTCCGGTGCAGATCCAGATCGGTGGGGAATTGGATTGTAGAAGAGAGCTGATCCGATCGGGTCACCCCAGCCACCCACACCTTGCGGATGATTTGCGCGACAAAACCGGCCCAGCCCAGCCCGGCCCGGCGTCCATCCACGCAATGAAGCAGCTTCCATCAACGAGATGTGGTCTGCAGCGCAGGCAGACAGCCTTAGAGGTTGGACTCGGTTCATGGGCAGGAGGAACACCACGGACCATGAGGCCCGAACCGTGTGGAAGGAAAAATCGCATCTCCAAACTGCTTGGATTGTCTCACAGGTTAACAGTTTGGAGTTGTGTCTTGACTAGCTTGAGCGAGAGGGGGACACACTACAGGAACACAGGAACACCCCATACTGGTATCTATGGTTCACCACGACGAATGCACGCGCGCACATGACATAGTGCTGGATTGGATGTTACGAGACGAACCTCTTGACATCAAGGGACCCACCCTTGTGGGTGGGTGACGGATGTCTGATGAACAACTGCTTTGGACAAAACACGTTGCCCAGGTGTTTCCACCAGGCCAATCCCGGCAATTAGACTTGATTTGGTGACATCAAGGAGCATCGATGGACCAGTTTTCTGGAGGTTCCTCCATCCCGATCGCCAGAGGGGTCGGATGCTGGAGGACCTTTCTACAAAAACCGTTACCGACCCGATCGCCACAGATGTCCTCTGCCCCTCCAATCTCCAAGACTGGTTATTTTGACCTTCGGAGAAAGGAGACGAGCTCCGACGAAAGGAGTGGACGAGCTCACATCCGGAACTCCAAAACTGGCACATCAAATGGGTACGGCTCGTAAAATAAGATCCAGAAGTAGAACTGGTGGTTGAAGACTTCCATTGGTCAGTGGTTCCCTGTTTTGGAGCCGCCATAGCCTGTTTAGGTCGGATAGAGATCCACACCTCACAAGCCTCGAAGCTGTCTGTCGCAGCCGTTGCAGTGGTCTCGTCCAAAGCCATGGGCTCTTTTTGGGGAACAGTTAACAAAACACTCAGAGTTCACAAAGAAACTTGAGCACTTCAAGTGACATGGTGGCATTGCTCTGCGCCAAGCGCGCGTTGGAACTGGGCGAGCTCGGCGAACTGGGCGAGCTCGAGGCTTGCGGCTTGGCACGGCAAAAGGAGCTCAAGGGCGAGGATTGGTTCTGCAGCTTCGACAGCAGCGCCAGAAATGGAGGGTGTTCGGCCTGCTTTAATTGAAGCCGGGAACAAAGCACAGCAGCGCTGAGCAAACGAGCGTCAAAGGGAAGCCGCAAAGCTTTTCTGACAACAAACAAGGGAATCTCACTCTTAAATAAAGAAAATTAACCAGGTCACCACACGAAACGCTGGTCCTGCGTTTCGGCATGAGTTTGGGCAGCAAGAGAGCCTGTGCAATTTCAGGATACAGCCTAGCCTGAGCGATGCTCAACTCATCCCTGGCATGGAACTCACCTTCCTTCATCGCCTTGATCTCCTGAGTTCCAGGGACAAGGCAGGCCGATGTCTTGATGTCCCAATTTAGAGCTTTCCTCTGAGTACCGTGTGCATTTTGGAGGGGTCAGTACCGTTACTATGTATTCCTTGCAGTTGGTTTATTCATGCAACAACCCAAAACAGGCAGTCACACCTCGTCGGTGACGTCCAGAAAAAACAATCCAATAAAAAACTGTACATGGAGCAACAGCCAGTAGCAGTTTGCCTCTTCACTGAGTGCCCCATGCTGATGGAGGGGGGCTGGACGGTTGTGGGTCTGTGTATATAGATTTAGATGTTGCGTGCTCATGAATCTCGCAATGCCAAGCAAGCAGCCGATTACAAGCTTGCCAACCCCACCAAAACCACGAAGGCTCCCTGCTAGGAAACTCTGCAGGCAGGCTCACATGGTGGTGGATCCCAGGCATTCGTTAGGTTTGCAAAAGTGGATATATGAGAGGGAGCCAACGATGCATCCAAAACCACCATGACTGCACAACGACGTCCGCGCGAAAAGGAAGCCAAATGCTGTGACCAGCGTCAGCCATCTCTTCCTTCATCTGCAGCACAGTATCCTGACAAGGTCAAAAGTACGTTCCTCTGAGTCACTGTTGGAGCGCATACCTTGAAATGCCGCTCAAAACCCGGACCAATCCATGGTAGGTTGACCTCGAGTCAAATCCGTCTATTCTGTTTCGGTGGGAGAACCCTGGGTCCCCCGGTTGAAAGATCCAAGCCAAAATATCTACAAAGATCCAACAAAAATCAGTGGTTTTCATTATAAAGGTTCCTTCTCCACCTGGAAGCATGGTCTTATGCTAGAAGGACTTTCAGAAATGACAGGGCCAAACGGGTTTGAATCATCTCAAAATCGAGGACCTGAGAGGTTCAGGTTCTGGTGGGGAAGAACACAGGTCTAGAGTCGATCTTGTTCGCACATTAGCTTGATTTGTTGCAGACAGTCTGGAGGTTTGCGCCGCGAATGTGCTCTCCTGGAGGAGAAGGGTCGACGAGTTTACACTTCGGGTCGACGTCGGAAACGAGAGTTGCTGGCGACCAGCTTCGTCCGAAGGAAAACATGTTGTTTTCACATCTTGTTTCGTCGCGGCCATTGGTGGGGTCGCGACCAGCTTCATTTCGACCCACAAGCACCTCCAAATGAATTGACCTCTGACTTACGACTCTCTTGGTGGAGATCCGCTGGACTTTGCCAGCAACTCGCAAGAAATGCGGAGGTCTTGTGCCAAATGAGACATGTGCATCACATGAACTTCAGCACCTTCATGACCCTCATAGGCCTCCAGTGTCTATCTCCAGCTGTGCAAACCGGTCCGCACCTGCAGCTGGCGGATGAGTTTTTCATCCTCGCCCATACGACGCTGCAGCAGGCTGGGCGCTCTGGCCTCATACTGAGGCCCATCACAGAACTCACCGAGAGTCCGTGGCAAAGCAAGCAAGATCACCTGGCCAGTCTGACAGCACCGGCCAGTCTGGCCCACACAAACGCACCAAACAAATCCAAAAGACCGCAGAAAATCAACGAATCCACTCCCACGCGACGTTTCATGCTTGGAAACCCAATGAAACTCAAGTCTGAACTGGTTGAGAATAGACAGTGGATAAAAAAAATGGAAAAAACCCAAATCTATGTTCAACTGATTCTGTCCTCCTTCATTTCGATGGTTCTAAAGCTGGTGGGTGTCAATATGTCATCATCCCGTTTGACAAGCAAATGCAATTCAAAGCGAGTTCACAATATAGACCCCCTGCAATTGTTTCTTGAATAATAGTGCCAGCAGAGACCTATAGGATATGATGTGTTGAAAACACTTGAAAAACAAAAACTACAAAAGCACTATATACAGCAAACATGATGTGATTTCGGACTTGGAAGTTTCAGCAACCCCCTACCATAGCAAGTTCCGGTTTTGAACTTACAAATGGGGACAGCGGGGCGAAAGTTTGCAAAGATAACATGAACGAAATATGTGAGCAATGTACAACCCTGGAGTTTTTCAACATCGCAACATTGCCAAAAATGCCCCTGTCTACAAAACCCGAACTGCCCCCGATATGGACCATGTTCCATCTCCTAGGAGTCATGGTGTGAATAGGGCCGACCAAAGCCGACCAAGTCCCGCCAAGGAGCCAGCCAAGGCAAATTCATTACCAAGCTGGGTAGCAGTAATCGTGGGTAAAGTCAACATGCAAATGCAATTGATGCACTTGGCTGCGGCGGTCGAAAGAAAAAGAATTGCGGTCATAGACCGGAACCAAAGAATGAAAAGGTGAACATGGAACAGCACCACACGACATTTCGGTCATGTGACACAACATGTTGGTTGTGCGAGTTCGACCATTCAAATCCAACCATGGTTGCCACCCAACTGTTCATTGACAAAGTGAAACAAACAAGAATACGCAATAATTGCAGCAAACTGCACCGTGTCAAGCTGAAAGCAATCCGAAACCATTCACTTTTGACACCAACTTACACACCTTCAAAATGTTTGCAAACGCAATTAATTTATGCCGCAGCTTTTCAAAGTTTCGACAACTTCATCATCGATGGACTAAGTTCAGGTCCAATTTGCACTGACAAATGGCATGCCGTTCGGCTTCGGTGTCAATGCGTGTCAGCCATAAGGGAGGATGAGGGACCAACTGCATGGTATGCAATGAAAATGTCCGGCCATTGGAAAGGGACAAAGCAATTCGCCACCCCCGCTACTGCGGAAGGAAACTGTCATGAAACCTCACACCTCACACTCACAAGTCAACCATCCGCGCACAAGCCGTCACCAACAACCTTGAACTTTCACCCGAAAACATTCAGTTCTGGTGCGTCTCGCCGGTTCTCAACCCCTACAGGCAGCTGTCGTTGAAGAACAGGCAGCATATGAACAGTGGGTTGAAAAACATATTGTGCTTGCGTCGGTCGCCATCGGCATGTTCTTTTTGCACGCGTGGGGCTGCCGTCATCGGAAGAATGCGAAGGTCAGCTATTGTAGAGATTAAGTTTCCTTGCAACAACACAAAAAACGACAAAAAAAAACAACCAAAACCAGAACACCCAGAACACAACACAACAACAAAAAACACCAAGAGAAAGGTCAGGAAATCTTGTGAAAACTCAGGGTGGGATGTTATCACCATGCCTTGTGACGAATTCAGTTTAACGAAAGACCTGCGCATGGATGAATTGCTGCGAAAGTTGGCTTGCACAGAGATGTCGCAAGTTGTCTGCTCCAGTTACGAAGACGGCTCAAAGGCGCATGTTCCAACGCACCATTGGTGGTGCCCACGTGCGTCGGTCGCCATCGGCATGCTCTCGACAGTGAGGATAGCCATAGTGGTAGTGATTGTAGAGTGTCGCTTGGTTGAGTCGAGTAAGTTCGTGGCGTGGTGAGAGGAGACTCCAACCCATTCTGTACATGGCAATCTCCAGTTGTGAGGTCAGCCAACCTGCCACCACTGTGCTTTCTGTCTGGACATTGCCTTGCTCAACATTACCTAATGCTGTGGCCAGCCTAGTTTAGCGAATGGCAAAGCGCCCATATCCTTGTGCAAAGTTTTAAGTGGGGTCAACTGTTGCGTCCTCTTCCTATTGACTCTTCTGCCGCCTGTTCTGAGGGGTCAACTGCCCCTACAGGGACTGGCTGTGTTGAAGAGGAGCCCACCAGGAAGAAGCCACCAGAAAGCAGGTCATGATGAAGGAGGGAAGAGGAGGCACTCACTGAGGATCCAGAGACAACGGGGGATGCCGAAGGCATCGAAATTGTTGTTAGTGAGGTGGACGAAGCTCACTCCCCGTCGCTGCCAGCAACTCAAGACGCTGTACGTGTCCTCTCCTGCTGGTCTGTCTGCTGCCAGCAATGACACTCGAACAAAGGAACGAGCAGTAGCATCTCCCACCGATCTTTTTTTGCACAGGGTGGAGGCGCTGTGTGTGCCGAGAGGCACAAGTCACCTTGATTGAATTGAATTAGGGACAAAAGGAGATACGAGCCAGGAACTAGAACAACAACACCAAAACCAACCGCAAACAAACAAAACCACCCACCCCAACACCAAAACAAAACCAAAACACCAACCCAAAAAGCCGGGCTCGCATCTTGCTCATCGCTGGAACCACTGAAGCTACTTGATCCCTCGGAGCACGCTTTCGACGGCAAATCAAATGTACCGTCAATCCGACAATCCTTAAACATGCCTGTGACTATAAGGGCCGTGCGTCGGTGTGTTTTGAAGTCGTCTTTTGTTTGGTTTGGTTTTTGTTTGTGTTTGCCACTGGGAGCCGCACGCGTGTAAAGAACATCCTGCCAATGGCTTACGGGGGACCCAACATTCCTGGGCCAAGTAGAGCGTCATCGGAAAGAACTAAAAGAAAAAATCGTGGGCAAAAGAGAAGACATCGACAGCCGAAACAAAGCCCGGCGCATTGCCCCCCCCTGTTGGTGCAGGCAGTTCATCCTCTGCAGCTCGTCCCCCTCATCGCAATCAGCCCCCCCCGCCGCCTCCGCCAAGAGGGTGGTGGCAGTGAAGGGAGACCACCAAACAACTACAGGACTATCGGTCCCATAACCTCCGTGAAAGTGGTGGCCTTAGCAATTGTTTTCCTCTGCTGAGTGTGATATTCGAGTCTTTGCCTACGCAACTGTCTGGCTCAAACAGGCCGAGTAGACATAGAAAGACTGCCGCAGCCAGGGATGATGCCGCATGGCCATGACAAACACGCCATTGACATCAAGTTGGTGACACTGGCGGGCAATGAATATTCCATGCAGGCAAATCTGACCCACTATGACGACCTCACCCAGCTGGAGGATGACATCATTAGTTTTCTTCCAACCGTTTCGGACATTGAAGTATTTGGCTGCGAAGTCGACCTTATCGAGCCAGATACCCAACTACCTCTATCAGAGGGCTTCCACACCACGCTACTGCAACAAAACAAACTGCAGATCATAGTACGGCCATGTATTGAGGAGAGACACTCCATCTGGCAATTCCAGGGGAGTGACAGGGAGAGATACCCCAAGTTCGAGTTCCCATCAACTCTCGCAAAGAGATTGCTGATCGAGCCTTTTATGCGGCGCCAATGCTCCGGCATGTGGAAGTTGCTGCGGAGATCAAGCACATTGGTTTTGCTGCTTGGCAAAGCTGCCAACAACTGCAGATTGTCAAACTCCCACCCTCGGTCATCAGTCTTGAAGATGGGGCCTTTCAAGACTGTTATGTCCTAAGGGAGATTGTAGCCCCGGGCTGTGTCCAGTTCAGCCGAAGAGTCTTCGCCGAGTGCTGCTCCCTCAGCAAAGTGGGCATCGGCAACGATGAGGAGGCCATTAATGTTCTCTTTTTTTGCACGGGTAGGGGCGCTATGTGTGCCGAGAGGCACAAGTCACCATAGATGAATTCGAAAGAAGGGGGAGAAGATACGAGCCAGATCAAACGAGGCAAAAACCAGAACCCAAACCCCAACACAACCACAACAAAAAACCAAAGCCCCCAACCCCCAACCCGAAACGACGCTGGCTCATATCTACTCGAGATGTGAGAAAAGAAGTGAAGATCCGGAGATCAATCACGGGGGTGAAACGGGGCCATGAATTCAAAGCTCAGGCTGCACTCAGTACAGGAGGTAGCAACCATTTTGTAGCAGGCCTGGCCGGGGGGCGAGGCGAAGGGGGGATTCCGGTTGGTTCAGCTCAATCTTCCACCGCCGGAGAGACTCGAACCTGATACTCTCTGGCTTTGTTATCCAAGCATCGAACGTGCACCATCACCCCTATTATCCAAGCATCGAACGTGCACCATCACCCCCCTCGCCCTGCTCAGAGTGCACTTCGAAAGGAGATATATTTCCACGGACAGGATGACAAGAAGAAACCCTATGCGGCTACCTTTGTGCAAGCCCAGCAAGAACGGGGTTGGGAACTCCACGTCAACAGTTTCATCCGGACGGGATACTGTGCAGTAACCAATCAATTTCGAAGAGCAAGAGAAGCGAGGGAGAAATTGACTTCTACCGCACAATAGATCAGGCCAATACAGAGGAGACTCCCCCGGAAACAGAGCAGCAAATCAAAGAGCCGGACCGAACGGGCACCTTCGTGGCACTTTTACGTGGTAAGAGCCTTACCCAAGTGCCAAATGTCTTTTTTTGCACGGGTAGGGCGCTATGTGTGCCGAGAGGCACAAGTCACCGTGTTGAATTCACATGAGGGGTGCGAGGAAATGAGCCTGACCAAAGGGAGCAAAGGAACCTTACCCAAGTGCCAAATGCAATTCAGCTGGGCCTCAGGCGGCATCCCAAGATGCGTAGTCTGACATTTCAACTGCCGGCTTTGCTTTCGCAACTGAGTAGATAGCCAGTTCCCATGGCTGCCTCCCAAGAGGTGGTCAGGGTGGGCACAGTGTACAGTTCTCAGGCCTAGGGATAGCGGTGTTTCACTGTTTCACGTAGTTTATGGGGCTTGCGTGCTGTCGGTGTGTTGTGTCGTGCCACGCCGAGAAGCAACAGCAGTTCCCGCTTGTCCTTTTGGAATTGCTGCCATCGTGCACGCTCTCATCTCCCCCCTTCGGGGGAGGCGGGTGTCTTCGAAGCTGCACCTCCAAATTCTCCCAGCCTCTGCTTGCCCACTGCAGGTCTCTTGCTCTCTTTCTTTGTTCGAAAAACTCCGGGTAGCAACCTTACACGACCTACCTCCCCTGGATCTTTAGCTCACAACAGGCTCTCACACTCGTCCGGTACGGTACGAAACCTTTCCTTCAAGCCTCCGAATACTTCGGAAAACTTCAAACGCTGCACAAGCTGCTCTCAGACACTCGCACCCTTTTCTCACACTAGCCAAACGAATTGGCCTTGAGCCAAAACATATCCCGTAGCATCAAACTATACAAAGAATACACGAAAAACATATTAAAAGTCTCTTAAAGCATCTCCACACACAAAGAACTCTTTCAAAACTTCCGACTACGCTACAAATACAATTAAGAACAAAATGTTGTACTACCGCCAGGTTCCAAATCCTTCACAAACAAACTTAAGCAAAATTTATGCATCGCAAACTGCAAGCATCGAGCGAGGTGGACATCCCGACATGGAATTTCTTCACCCCCTCTTGGACACAAAGCTCGAAACGAACTGGCTGGCTTTAAGCCTTCTTATTCTTCTTCAATGAGGACAGACATTTGGCACAAATATCTTTCGACATAGGTACGTGCATGCC